TCCCGGCATTTCATCGAGAAACTAAAGGTATGAATATGCAGAAGGACTCGCGCAGTTTTTCGTCAGATTGAATTAATGATGATGTTTCAATAATGATTGATTGACTAAAGTTTCTTATTTCACGTCAGTTTGTAAAACAATCGCTGTAGACACCAATAACGCAAAAAGTTGAGGGGATCTTCATCGGGAAGCTGAAACAGAGCCCCCAAAAAGTACCACACTTTTATTTTAAGTGCTTGGCGCGAGTTCATTTGTATCCCAATAGGTATCAAAATGGTTGCACTGGTCAAGCCACTTTATCTCATTCAGGTTTACGTCTCAAGCATTTTATGTACTCCTGGTGGAAGAAGTAAAACTTTAATTTTACACGGTATTTTCAATCATGCGTCAACTAGATAAGATATAACAACACTAAGCAACTACTCTGACGACCAAGCAAAGTCATTTCTATTCCTTACAAGATGCCTTTGACACCATCTAGTTAATACAAAATTCGACCATATCGAGGTATATAGTCTATCAATCAATCAATCAATCAATCAATCAATCAATCAATCAATTGTACCCACTCTGGCTAAAAAAGAATTACAATGTTCAATGAAAATATTAAAAGTAAAAATTAGAGTACTAGTTGCCTGGAATAACCATAGGGGCTAGCGGAACCAGGCAGCCAGTTAACATCAGCATTAAACAGCAATAAAATACAGGTCAGCAAGAAAACTGAAGCACAAACGCGCACAAACGCTATTTCTATGCTATGAAGGAAGTCTAAAATAGTTAAATTTATATATATATATATGACTACAAAACATTAATATAAGAAGAGCTATGGCAACTAATAACAGCTATATCGTATTAAACTATTAAAGAAAGACTTATAAAGGTGACAGAAATAGCAATGAATATTTAGCATCTGTTGTTTTTCTTTTTTTTAAATCTACATATTCGTCTTCACTTTGACTGCTTGTATATGACCACTCTCAGTCACTTGATGTCGCCCTTTGTTGGAGGTATTGTCACGTTCAGCAGGATTTGGCGCCTGAAACAGAAATCGATAAACCGTCTGCCCAAAAAACATAACGCAATTTTTACAGGCCTCGTGTTATCTGATCATAATTCCGAAATCCGAAAAAAAAAGTTTCTATCTTTTGGAGTTCGACCTAAATATAAGACAATAGGTTTATATAGGAGGGCGTTGGAGGTGGATTACTCTAAGAGTTTCGTGTCAGAGTTTTTAGGGATTATTTTCGGGATTTCTTGTTTTCCGGGAACCTCAGTCTTATCTTGAAACCGGTACTGTCTTAAGGCATTTTCAAATCGTTGATATAAACAAAGTTCCTTGTCCTTACCAATCAGGCTAAGACGGAGAAGTGCAAAAAGCGACTAACGAATCAAACTGTTGCACGATAAGATTGCCTTATTCCCTAGCAGCGTAACCACGAGAACGAATCGACGACGCGAGTCGATGGCGTCTCGGGAAAATAAGTTTCTCCTGTCGATTCGCGACATCGTTTCTTGCGCTTTTGCAATTTATTTCGCAAAATTGCCGTACGATTGTATCCTCCAAAGACTAAAATAGCATTCGTTTCGAGTCTTCGTTGCCCCCTTGATGACCATCAAATTATCACTTGCTTCAGATGGATTTTTGGCAATAATTGATTCACGTGTATATACTTTAACTGCTTCCCAATCGGGGCCATAGACAAGATATAAAGGTGAGATTTGCTAACCTTCCGGACCAGTTGAGTTACTTGAGGAATTCCGAGTTTCAGGTTGTGTAACTTGCTCGGGAACAGACATAGGGTTCGCATTGTGAAGCACTTTATTGTTGGCAGGCTCTTCCTGAAGCTTAAAGGGGTGAAGGCTGGAAGTAAACCCCCTCATACTGGTCGCCACTGGAGGGGTGGGATTATCACCAGTCGACTTGCTGAGGCGTTCGATCACGCGACGTAAAATAATTTTTTGCCCTACCACGAGCTTCATGTCTGAAAGATCCTGCTCTGTTACCCTGGCGAGAAGGGATTCTGTTTTTATCTGGTGCCCAGCCAGAACTTGCATCAAGCCCACGGAAATGCCCTGATCGTAGCAAAACTGATNAAAAAAAGAATTGGGACTTTTGAGCGAATATTATTTTTTTTAGAGCGCCGGCAATATGTGCTATTTTTCCAGTTTCGGCGGGCATGAAACTTGTGTCGACCGGACCGAACTTCAATCAATCCTAGAAAACTTCAATTAGAATTTTTAATCAAATAAAACTCATTTTAGTGATTGACTAGGTAAGGGCTTCGTAATCCCAGCTTATGAGAAAAATCGAATCTTCGAAGTAAAATCAGTGGTCGGATTTTACAGAGACAGCCTCTTAATATTGTAAGAAGCAGCGTGTCGATCCAATTTTAAACACTCTCAATTAAATAACCAAAAACCAGCAAAACTAGTAAGTTTACCTTTCAGATCGTCCTTTTCATATGACGAAAAATTCATACCGGTTGATGGGGCCCATACTGGGAACAAAACATATTAGTAATTAGAAATTAGTGATTGTCAAATTGATCATACATAAACGTACAGTGGTGTATATGTCCTAACAAAATAGTGACTTTCCAAAGGACGTCAAACGAATGTCATTTCTCATAAAGCAAAATAAAAAGTTTTCATCGAAAATCATTTTTCAACACTTTTTTCAGCATTTTGGTAGTTTTTAAGGACAGACAAAATTAAGGCTTAATTTGACCGATAAAAAATGGTTATTGTTAGGTAACAATTAATATTTAAAATGACAATTTCAACCGAGAAATTTAGACAAGTATCGTTTCTCTTGTTAAATTAAACGTCTTGCCGAGTAAGCGGTGAAAGGCGGGGCTAATAACCCAAACTGTGCAGAACGAAGTTAAAGCTCTTCACTTACCTACTCCGCTATATACATACACAGGATGTTGTTCCCCTGGTCGTCTCATATCCAACCTGAACCTGTATCTCTTGCCAGTTTTGAGGTTAGTTACTTTGAATTTTGTTGTAGCTTTACTCAGAGCACTTGCTCCTGCGACAGGCTCCCACTGACCCTTCCACCCCTCCTGCATCTCAAGATTCACAGTTGTTACATTTTTATCTGTAACTGTCCATGTCACCAGTATAACTGTGGCGTCATCTGCCATTCTTGCTGCTTGAACTACAAGAGGAACCGACAGAGGAATGACATTTAAATGCAATGATCAACAACACTATTTAATTAGGCAGAACAAGAAATGCACACAGATTGGCATTTACATACAACTGTTAAAAGCAAATGTTCAAATGCG